TTTAAAAATATATATAAAAACAATAAAATAAAATTATTTATTTCAGAGAGGAAGGGAGAGAGAGAGATAGAAACATCAATGATGAGAGAGTATCCTTAATTGGCTGTCTCCTGCATGTCCCTCCCCCGCCTACTGGGGATCAAGCACACAGCCCACAACCGGGGCATGTGCACTGACCAGGAATCAAACCGTGACCTGCTTTGAAAAAAAAAACAAAACAACAAAAAAAACAAAAACCCTAAAATTAACACCTACAGGTCCACACCCTCTATAATGGCCCTGCAGATCCTTTGTTTCTTATCATCCCTGCCCACATTCCTAGGGCACTAGCAAAATCACAGTAGCTTTGACCTTGGCCCCTTGCTGGGCCTCCATGCCCAGTTTTAGTAAGAATCCTGCTAGATCAGTTCAGAGAGAATCCCCTCTCTTGATATCTGATCACTCTCAATATCTGGTCAAATTTCTCTTCCTCTCCCTCAGCAGTTGATCATCCTAGCCAACCTTCAGCAAGACTCCTGTTGAGTAGGTTTAGCATAAATCCCCCCACCCTGATATGTCCTCTTAGTAATTTTCCACCCACTGGCCCCCACATTCTGCTTATCGGCTATAATTTCCCACTTTTTCTTGTTGTGTTCAGAATTAAGCTCAGTTTTACACTGTAGTCTCTTTTCCCCTATAAAATATTTTTATTTCTTTAACTACTGTCCACCTATTGTTTTTTTTAACATCTCCTAAACCAAATTTTTCTATATTCCCCTGCTCTTTTACTCCTGCATTCCTTCTGATTTCTTCCAGACTACATGTAAAAAAGGCTCATGCTTTCTTTATGGGCCCATTTAAATTATACTGCTTGTTGAAGTCTTCAGGGTACAAATTATTATTTATTTCCTTTTGGTGCTTGTAAGGTACTTTGTATACACATCTATTGTACTTTGTCTATTTTATCATCACTTTTTTTTTTTTTACATTATTCTCTCTAACCATCAAACTCAGGGTCTTTCATCTTTATTATTTATTTAGTTTTTACCCAAGGTGCTATTCTGCTGTCAGGCACTTAAGAGGTAATTATATATTTATTAATCAAATATTTGTTAATGCTAGCATAGAAGTCAGTGTAAAGACAATAATAGGAGTAAATAAAGGCCAAAGCAACAACAATCCCCTTCCTTTCCCCCAAAATTACCTTTTAAATATGGCACAACCCAATTTTAAGTGTATATGAGTTATAATTAACCTCACTATAACCAGAGCCAAATGGATAAAGCCCACATATTTTAACTGTTAGGAATTTACTTGTGACGTTTCCAGAGAGTCTCCAATATGTCTATAAGGTATAGTCCCATTCTGTAATCTTTTCTTAGCTTAACAAGGAAATGTGGTTGGTGTTGGATAGATATGGAAAATAAAGGAATTACAATATTTTTGAGTAATAAAATACTTAAAAGACACTCCAGTTGGCTGTTGAAAGCCCTCCTATTGTCTTTGAGGCCATTTCAACCCGCTGGGAAGAGGAAATCAGCTGTTCTATTTGGCCATCACACTTTAACCAGAGTTTGATCAAAGGGGAACTTACAACATCCACTATAGCAACACAAACAATCCAGGTCCATTGCTATTCCAGCCAGCTGGCTACTTTGCCATTATGTCAGTGCATTTTCACTGATGCAGCTTTTGCATCTAAGAAATATGAAAAAATAATAAAGCACTGTTGTTTTTTGCTTTTAAGCTTTCTTATCAGTGAGTTATCTATCACAGGCCTTATCATTTACCAATTTACTAAAATAAAACAATTACTAATATGTTTCATATTATTTAAAACACCATCACTAAGGTAGCTGGAAATGGGAAGTATAGGAGGTAAAAGACCCAAGCCTTTGTGCTATTATAGTCACCAAGTGAGGAAGTTAGGCTAAAATTCATTTGGTGGCTATAATAGCACAAAGACTTGGGTCTTTTACCTCCTATAGTTCCAGCATTTCCTAAAATACTACAGGAACAGATGAAATATCATTATAGAAGAAAAAATGGGGGAATCTGTGATGGAAAATACTTAAAGAGCACTGCAATAAATAAATAAAGTTAAGGAGGTTTTATTTTGAACTGAAGGACCTCTCAATATCTTTTTTGAGTAAAACCAGAGGTATTAATTACCTTGTAGCTATCCTTGCCTATCCTATTTGGAATGGGTATCAGAATTTTAAGAAAATTTTATGAAACAACATCCTGTATAAGGAAGTATTTTAAATTAACAGATGGACTTACACAATTATAATATTTAAGACAATACAATTTAAAAAGATATACACTGTGAATCATTTCCTGAATATAGGACTTTAAAAGAGCTTCAGACTGCCCTAGCTGATTTGGCTCACTGGATAGAGCATCGGCCTGCAGGCTGAAGGGTCCCAGGTTTGATTCCAGTCAAGGGCATGTACCTTGGTCACGGGCACATCTCCAGTAGGGGGTGTGCAGGAGGCAGCTGATTGATGTTTCTCTCTCATCGGTGTTTCTAACTCTCTATCCCTCTCCCTTACTCGCTGTAAAAAAATCAATAAAATGTATTTTAAAAATAAATAAATAAAAGAACTTCAGACCTATCCTATATAATAAAAGCCCAGCGACCAAACAGTGGAATGACCAGAACAACCAGTCAACCAGTTGCTATGACGTGCACTGACCACTAGGGGGTGGGGTGGGAGTCAGTGTGCTACCACAGTGTGAGCATCGCTTGGCTGACTGGGATGAGTGGCTGCTCTCACTGCGAACCCCGGGCTGACAGGGAGGAACTCAGGCTGTGATCGTAGCCTCCTCATCCCAGGCTCCTCTTCCTCACTTCCTGCTGCCTTCTCTGGACGGCCTATGGACTGTGTAGTGCCACCCCCGGGCTCTCAGAGCTGATCCTGGAGGCTGGGAGGTGGGTTTGTGGCCACAATGGGACTGAGGCCTACTCCACTTCCTCTCAGTGCTATTGCCCCTGGGCCTGGCCCCAGTCAAGTCCCCTGGAGAGGCGAGTGCTCCGGCTCCACAGAAGATGCCAGACCAGAGAGCAGCCACTCAGAGGGCAGGTCCACAGCCGCTCAGCTGACCTGGATGGGCAGTGCTCCCACAGCGAGGCGATCCCCACAGGCCACGACCCCACCAGTGCATGATTTCCCATGCACTGGGCCTCTAGTCTATAATAAAGGAGAAGGTCCTAGCTCTGCTAATGGTAGGATTTTTCACTATAATATTTTTGCTGTTTAATATACACAAGTGACTACAGTGTATTTTTGTATTTCTTAAATTATATAATTCTTTCAAAACACATAATTGTCCAAAGCTGAATCTAACTCAAGACAATCATTTCAGGTGCGACATATCATTAGCTTATCTATTTTAAAGATTAGTGCCATTGTTATTTTGATATTCTCTTTCCCTTGACCAAACACAGCTAATACAACAAAGAAGAGACTTTAAAATGTCTTTTTTTATGTTAAGTGTTTATGTTTCCATAGGCCTGGCATCTATCTGTTAATTTTAAGATAGTGGTTTGAGAACGTTAGAGTATATCAGAATCACTGGGATGACTGGCTAAATTCAGACTGCTGGTCCACCCACAGAGTTGTTGATTCAGTAGGTGTTGGATGGAGCTGATACTCTGCATTCCTGACGAGTTCCTAAGTGGTGCTGAAGCTGCTGGCCCAGGTGACACACTTGAAGAACCACTGCTTTCATAGGTTCCAGTTGATTAGTGCACACCTGGGTCTTTCTGTGAACCGAGGTTCCTCCTTCAGGCCCCAATCGGGAGCCTTAAAGGAGCAAGAGAGCTGGTTATCCCAACTGCCTCCAAAATACATCACCTCTGTATGAATTCCTAGGTTCTGTCACAATAATCTCAGTTCCCCAAACCCAACACATTTCCCCCCTCTTTAATGTTTCCCGCTATCAGCTAATAATGGGTAAGGTCATTAGATTCAAAATGTTGTCCACACTTTGGATTTCTTCCCCTCTAATCGCTGCTTTTTATTTTTCCACAAAACTCATTCCCTTTCTTACATAATATTTTTGCAGGGTCCTGGCTCTTTCCCGGCATCATTTGACTCTCTACCAGTGGACGGTATTGCTAGCCTACTTGAGTATGTAGCCTATATTCACTCCTGTGTTCATTCATTCCACATACATCTGTTAAAGACTCGACATATCACAAATATGACAAGAATTCTGAAATCATGGGCTTACATTGTCATGAGGGAGATATAAATAAATATAAATATAAGTATGATATATTCAAGAAGTGATGTGTAAATTGAAGAAAATGGCATAAAGTAATGGCCGAGAAAGTGACTGGAAGTGAAATGTCTTAGCTACTCTGGAAACACTTCCCTGAGAGGTAACATTAAGCTGCAACAGAAATGCTGCGATGGAGGCAATAAATCAGTGAATGTAGAGAAGAGCACTCCCCGCAGAGAAAGCATCAGTGCAAAAGCAGAAAGTTAGTGAACGAGTCAGCCAGGGAAATGGCTGCAGAGGAATTCTGGGGTAGGGGGTGGCAAAAATTTTCATAAGCCACTGATAACTACATCTCTCTCTCTCTCTCTCTCTCTCTCTCTCTCTCTCTCTCTCTCCCCCCCCCCTCTCTTTCTCTCTCTCTCTCTCTCTCTCACACACACACACACACACACACACACACATCTCTGGGATACAGACTAGAAGAGTGGTATGAGTGTCAACACTTCCTCTGGCCAACAGAAGTTAAAAGATCAGCATTTGATAGAGGAGAAGCTAAAGATTAACATGAGAATTAACTGTCCAGCCTTTGCAGTTGGCTGTACTAAAATGCACAGGAATCATACCCAGCTCTTATTTCTTTGTGATGATGGACTCACTAAACAGCAGTGGACAAAAAAAAAAAAAAAAGGCCCCCACAATCTTGGTTGTGGAGCAAATGGGCTCTCCAGCCTAGCATCCCATTCCCGCCACCTGTGATCATACCCCAAGGTCCCTGAGGGGTGGTCACCCAGGTTCGCACCCATCTACAAGCAAGAAGAGCACGGCAGCCTTCCCCTCCAGCAGCTCGCTCGTGGCCACCCATGACTACTACCAGCGCCACCTGGGTTCCACTCCCAGTGACAGCTCCTCTGCCAGTGCCAAGTACCCTGGGGAAGCCACTTTCTACCACTCGGGTCTCCCCAAGGCTCACCTGGCTCATCAGTGGGCGAGCTTCTTTTCCGGGAAGTTCACTCTCTGGTTCATGGCCACCGTGTTGGAGTCCCCAGAGCACCTGGAATCTCCCCAGGCCTCCAGCGGCACCAGGACCTGTCACCTGGCTCAGGAAGCCACAAGAAAGCAGCCTGGTGGCCAGTCCTGCAAAGCCAACCTGGGGCCCCATCCTGAGTGACCGGACTTCCAGAGGTGCTAGGCATGTTTGAGCCCTTCCCCTCTCCCTCCATGGCTCCTCCTCACCCCACCCCATAGAGTAGGCAGGCTGCAGCAAGCAGCATTAGGTCCTTTTTTATATCCAAATAGCAAAGCACCAACAAGGAAGCTGAGAGAGCAGCGCTCTTTACTACCCAAGCCACACGCCAGCATACCTGACACCCCATGACTGTACCCGTGTGCCTTACACCAAGTGGAATACAAAGGACAAGCAGACAGCTCTTGTTTCAGAATATGGGAACATGACATATTAACCTCTTGTTCTTTTCATAACGCTGGGTTAAAGAACCACTCTACGTATTGATACATAGTAGTGCTGGAAATGGGTACTCCCTTCCCACCCATAAAGTCAAAATTCTGAGTGTAGAGGGAGCAAAATTAGGTCAGAAGTATGTCTTACAGCATTGTTTTACACAGACAATATTCTCGAACAGCAGTGATTCTGATAAAATTGACAAAACAATGTCCAGCAAACACACACACACACACACACACACACACACACACACACACACACCTACCTTTAAGCAATATGAAACAATTATGAATCAGAAATTAGCCTAAAGCAAGAGTTGTATGCTTTCAACAAACCCCTCAAGAAAAGCATCAAGCTTACTGTACCTGATCATTTGAATTATGTTTTAATCTTTATATCATTAGCCTCCAGGTACATCTGAGGGTATCGAAATCGAAAGGAATTTATCAGTCAGGGTTCTTTTTAAGTAAAGAACATAAGTCTATCTTTATAATTTTGCTTTAGATCTATTAAAACTTGTTGCCATGTAACCTGAAATTTGTTAAATATTCTCACCAGCAATGCAAGTTTTTTCAGTATACAGAGTTTAAAAACTCTTGAAGTCTTAAAGTCCTGAAGTGAAATCACCTTAGTTTTTTTAAATGTTCCAAAATAATGATTATATAAAAATAAAAGTCCATTGATTTATACTGTAAAACTCCTAGGATCTCATTTATGAAATTGCTTAATACACTCCTCATTATCATATATGCTGATGGCATTACCTGTCTGCATCGACAGTCACATCGTGAACACCTCTCTGAACGGCATCCCTGGAAGTCACTGGGTCTGGAATTCGGTTCAGACTTCTAGTGTACAGGTTGAGTCCTCCATCTGTCATGTACCTGAAAATAAATGTGTGATGAATCAGCAGAAAATTAAATGAGCTCATCTGACAATTGCAGTTAATAAACAAACTGTGTTCACATTTTTCAATAATTATGCAAATATTCTCTATTATAGTTTTTTTCTACATAAACATTATACTCACCAGAAATAATTAGAATATCTTTTCAAGTTTATTAGGAAATCAGTCTTCCTTACTACAATAAGTAACCAGCCAATTATAGAACCTTCTGTTTTCCCCCTTTTGTAATCTGTATTTTGAATAGGCTTGTAAATAATATAATGCTTAGCAAAATAAAAGCAACATCATTTTATTTTGTGAAGCATTGATGGTCACAAGAGTAATGGAACATTAATAAACTTTAAATTAATTTATTTGACAAGTGGAATATATGCTACAGTTGGCCATTATCAGAATCTAATAACCAAGATGTATCAAATGTTTAATATGTTGCCAGGAACTTTTCAAATAGTTCACATGTTATAACATTATTTATGCCCACATTAGAGATAAAGAAATAAGTAGGCACGAAAGGTTAGGACTTACACGAGGTCACTCAAACAGTCATGGCAGATTTGAGAAATGAATCTACAAAGTTTGCTCCAGGAACCATGATCTTAACCACCAGGCATTGCTCTCTGAACTGAAGGACCACGCAGTCTGCCCATGTCCTGTCTGGGATCTATTTTCCTATGATCACAGTATGGGGTGCGGCTAGTGTTTTGGACAGGTTCAAGCCTTGGACTGAGGAGAGGGCACAGTCCTCTCATGGCCACGTGCAAGTCCCAGCTTGGAGGGCAGAGCCTTCCCAGCACAATTATAGCCAACAGCTACAGTTGTAAACTTGAGCCTGTGGTCCGAACACGTGGCCCCACATGCCTGAGTGATGTGGGCTTGACAGAGTTCAGGTGCATGTAGTTGAGTAGGATTGAAACCAACGAGAATGTTGTAAACATCTTGATCACGCCCTTACTTTGCCTCGTGGCATCTGTTATAAAATAAAGACGTGGCTAGTGGGCAAGGGCGCTGTCCATCACAGGAGCAGCGTCTCACCGAGATCCAGCTTTCATTCTCTTGTCTGTCATTTCTAAGCCTTTCATCGCCCCCACTCAGGGTCACTGAACCAGGTTGAGCTGGCATGAGTATGCCATGGCCGTGCCGGCTCCCCACATCACAGAGCCACCACCATTACTCAGGATTGGTACAGCCTCAGTTACGTTACTATTAGGTAATCTTGCTTGCTGGACCAAGGAGGATGAGAACAGGGTGTTTAATCTCACATTCCATGCTAAGCTAATTTTTTCCCCCTTAAGAATTGGGATAAAGACATAGTCTTTCTATGTGGATAGAGTGGATGATAATGGAGACCCAGGAACTATGGGTGTTTATCAGCACTACATGCGAAGAGCTACAGAGAAAGCTGGTCAGCAGAGTAAAATCAATGGCACAGGTGCAATAAAAGAAGCAGAGACCGTTGGCCTTGTGGCTTCAGCTTCACAACTTGCCCTTGGGTTCTGGGAGTCATCCTTGCTTCTTTATAATAGGTGACCATTGTGCTTAAGCAAATTCAAGTTGGTTTCTCTTTTTTGTATCAACAAATGTAATCATGATCATCCTGAACATTCACCAAACTGCTGCAGCAGGATTGTGAAATCGGCTAATTGCTTACAGGATTAGTAAATTCTGTCCTTACTAGTTGAAGGACCTTGAATGAGTCTCATAAACTGTGCCTCAATTTCTTCCTCTGAAAATGGGAAGAATAAAATCTAGTGCAGACGTGTTTTACGACAATTAGAGAATACATAAAGCTCTTACTGTGAGAACCCTATAAATAATAGCTACTTATTGTTCACAAAGTCTCTCTCATATATTTTGAAAAGGAAATATATGAATTTTATATACAAAACAATAACACTAAGGTCATGATGCATTATATCCTCATAATATGGTTAAGTTTCTTGATAACTAAAGAATTTAGTTCCACAAAAATGAAAAATTAAAAGATGACAAAATGTGTAGAACACTGACATACTCTTTTAAATTGGAAATATTGGATATAGTCTAACTGTTTTGATAATGATTGGGAGCATCATTGCCTGTACAAAATGGGACAATTGGAGTAAAGGGATAGTTGTCCTTCTAAATGTTATTGCCTTTTTTCTTAAGGTGGAATGTATGTATTTTCAGATAAAATAAAATGGTTTAGTAGCAAATATTTTTCTCATTCACTCTCTTTTTAAAATTGTGTTTTTGCCGAAACCGGTTTGGCTCAGTGGATAGAGCGTCGGCCTGCGGACTGAAAAATTATGCTACAATCCGGGAGCTATAAATGTTAGGGTATCTTTTTGAAAGAATAATGGAATTTTAAGAAAAGGTTTTCCTAATAATGTTATATCTAAACTTCAGAACTATCAGCCAAGATGAGTTTGAGAAGAAGTAATAGTTACAAGGAAGATTGGTACAAACAAAAAAATTCAAAGGAAACTTGTGAAGGTTAAAGGACAAAAATAAATTCTCTCAAACTATAAAAATCTTAGGAAATTTTAAATTTATGTTCAAGTTATTTAAGCTATAAAATGATTCCCATTCAAAAAACCCAATAGTCTCACAAAGCATTTCTAATCCCTCCTCCCTTCCACTGCCACCTCTCTTCTTCTTTTTTTTTAAATCTTTATTGTTGAAGGTATTGCATAGGTCCTCCTTTTCCCCCATTAACCTTTTCCAGCCGGCTCCTGCCCCCCTCCCCTCCCAGGTCCTCACCACCCTGTAGAGGGCCGACAGGGAGGCACCTGGGCATTTTCTTATAATTATTGTCAGCTGAACTCAGAGCATAGGCAGAGCCACGCCTTGGGAACATGCTTCCCCAATAAGGCTGGACATGTTAATCAGGCAGGGGAGGAACTAGATATGTAAATCTAGGCCTTTAAAATAAACCTGCTGTGTGGCTCAGCCGCTTTTTGCCGCCTCTCCATCAGAGAGGATGGCGCCCACCTGGCCCCAGCTTAAAATCTATTTTCGAGTCTTGGTCTTTCTTTAATTTCTTAATCCCCAGCTCCTCCACTCAGCAAATGGACTGTTTCCTTTTCCATGCGGGACATGGAAAAGAGAGAAACAGCCCCCCACACCACCCCATTGTCTGTGCCCATGGGTTATGCATATATACATACAAGTTCATTGGTTCTGAGCAGAGAAACCTTACACACTTGCAGCATACTTCCTTTAGGTGTCTGTTTTCCAAGTTAATATTTCCGGGTCCCATGGCCAACCCTGTTCTAGGATATTAAACTGCTTCCTAGGCATAAATATGTGGCTTTCCCATAATCACATCAAATATAGCATAAACTGAGCATGTATTATATTCACCACTAAAGCTCATGCTCCTTTTGCACGTGCTAATATAGTTATGCAAAACATACCAACAACCCCTTCAACAATCCAGAGATATTACGCTTTCTCCTTGTCACTCGCCACCCCCAACTATTACAAGATGGTGTCAGTTCAAATATGTGAATCTGCATCACCATCCTCTAATTTTGTCTGAAATAAGAGAAAATTGTAAAAAAAACTCATTTTCTTATGTTGTTCAACCCTACTTTCTCAGTCAACATAAAGATATATACCGCTACCATCATAACTACTCTGTGCTTTTTAAGGAAAGATGTACAGTGAAATATATTTATGCAAGTACATAAAGTGTATATTTAAATAATAAAAATAATATCAACTTTCATGTGCTTATTACCTGGCATCAGAAATAGAACATTTCCAATTTCTTCAATGTCCATATAGGCTCCTTCCAATCATATCCCCAAACCTCTCT